GGGCGCCGGCTGATGTCCTGGGGGGGGAAAAAAACCCAGTGAATTTAAAAAGCGACGATTTTCCTCCTCCTTCAATACAATAAAGCACCAAAAATGGAGGCGACCTAGAAAAGGGCTTCTGCAAATTCTAAATGCTTAATATTAAGGTTAATATTAACACATTCAGGTCCTGGTTTTCCCCCAGCAGTCACAGGGTGAGAATTTCTTTTCTTTCTGATTCCTCTTGACAACTTCTGACAGGAATTATTGTTTTTTTTTCTCCTGTTCAGTTTTCTCTCACATTAATTTTTCCCCGCTCCTGACCGTTTTTACTGGGAACGATCCATTGGTTGGGAAGGCACAGGCAGACCCAAAGCTGAGGGCACATGAGGGAAGCGCCATGATAGCAACTTCACCTTTCCCATCCCCTGAGGAAGGTGGACGATCCGTGCCGTGGCCAGCACAGAATGAGGAATAAAGGAAACATAATCCGCCGCTTTGCTTGCCCTGTGAAGGGACTACAGGACATAACCAGCTACCGGAAGAACACATAATCACGGTAATTAGCGACCCTCACCACGAGTGCCACTCAGCCTGCACGGATGAACCCATGTATACCTGACACAAGTTCCTGGACGAGTACGGCTGTTGCTCTGCCGGCACTCGGGACCTCACGGCCAGATGCCACATTTCCAGCTCCAGGAGATCACCACAAGCCAGCGAGCGACCACAGCTCCATCCCTAACAGACCCCAGCATTCCTTATGCACCACACACTCGAGCGCTTTACAATAACCCTCCAAGACGTATGCAAGAGAAAACAATATTCTTGAACAATCAAAGAGGTGCTGTGTTCTCCCTGAAGAATTAAACACAGCATGCTAATCGCTTCCAGAAGCTGTGCCCCAAATCGTGCTGCCTCTATGTCTCAGAACAGTTCAGAACTGACGCCCGTTCCCAGACAAACAGTCTGTGCCTGGTGCCGTTCCCAAAAAGCTGGGGTGGCACTGCTAAGGGGACTCGCGGAAGCTGCAGCTCTCCATCAGGGCTTTCAGCGGGCAGTGGCAAGGAGGGGCTCTGACCCCTCACCACTTCACTGACTTTCCTAAAGACCAGCGCTTAACACAGCGCAGGAACATCCCTCTGTCAGTCTCCTTTGAAACACGAGTGTCTTGTTCATGCAGGAAAAGCTCTTGAAGACATAATCTAAATATGTTTAAATCACAGTTTTGAAAACAAGAAGGTAAATAAGCACATCCAACAGACTCTGGTCTGCATTGTCTTAGAAGCCATCTCACGTATTCACATGGAAACACATCTCTGAGGAGACAAACCTGGCATTTCCAAGTTCTTGAAAGCCGGAGCGCAAGTACAGTACTGCTGCTCTCCCACTCCAATGTGATGAACAAAGGACACCTTCTTGGGCTGGGTTCAGAGGACAGCAGTTTGTGTTTGCCTACTCATCTAGTTTTAATTTCCTATTCTGTCACTTCCTCAAGCAAGAGCTTCTCCCAAGGGGAAAAGAAACCAAAACAAACCCCTCCTCTGTGATCCCAGGGGACGCGGTTTAACAGAACAAACTCTGGCAGAATAAAGCACACAGAAACTAAATTGTGCTATTAAATGGTCTGCATTAACAATGCAGAAATGTTTTTGACAGTCAAAAAGTATTTGGATTAACGATGGGGTGGGTTTCTTTTTCAGAATTTAAAGGACTTGGACACCAGCCCTTTACGGGAAACGTGCTTTCCAACCGATGGAAAACACAACAACGTGCCGAGAGCTCTGGTGGCAGACCTTGGGAGCTTTCTGTCTTGTTTCTTACTCATCTTTCCCAATTTTCTTTTCTATTTTTTTTAATATTGTTCATCTATTTAGGCACCCATTAGCAAAGTTGCCAAAGGGTTACAAACCTTTTTCATTATGAGCAATGATTTTTTTTTTCCCCAACAGTCCCTCAAACACAGATGATTTGAAAGACCAAATCTCTGAACCGCGAACATTTCTGCAGCTGCCTACGTGTTTCATCAGACCCGCAGACCCACAGTATTTGTCTCAAACACGTCCGGGCTTGAAACTTCCTTCTGACACCTAATTCCATGCAAAGCTGTTCTCAGGCGCTAACACACAGAGGAGGCTCTACTCTTACATGCCCCGGCATACACACAGCTGCTCAGAATATGTTCTGTTCTATATATAGACAGAAACTGCAATCACTTAAATGGGAACCTTTAATGTAAAAGCAGAGTTTTGTTCCATACAAAAAACTAAAGGGATACTATCGATGTTTTCCTGGAGAGTGTGGGCTGCTGAACTACCAATGGCGTTTTCCCTTTTGAAAACCCTATAAATGCACCAGGAAACATTGATGTGGCCACCGATGAAACGACGTTAGCGTGAGTTACCTGCCTCACGAGCTCTCCTACCTTGCGCCAGGACTTGAGCCAAGGCTTCGCAGGATGCAACAGGCACGCGGAGTGGAACCAGCGAGCTCCTCCTGGCCAGCAGCCCGTCCCCCTGCATGGCTCCCAGTTTTTCCCCCGCTCTCCAGGCACTGCATCAATAATGGTGGAAAGACGCAGGTGAAGAGATGCCACCAGCGGAGCTCCTGCAAGGGTGCGCCGGGGCAGCCCGCAGCGAAACTAATGAGAAGTAACATAAAGAGTGGGAGAAAGGAGGAGTCCCCTGTCCCCCTCTGTCCCCCCTGGCCCGACGGCCTGCACCTGCCCCAGGCCCGGGAGGAGTCCTCACCGCAGGCCTCACCTCACAGGCCTCACCACAGGCCTCACCACAGGCCTCACCACATGAGGCCGCCCGGTCGCTGTCACGGGGTTTCCGCCTCCCCAGGCCCAGCGCGCCCCCTCCTCACCCTCCCTGCCGTCACGCGCAGCCCCCCCACCTCGCGATGGCGTCACGCACCGTCCCGTGACATCACCCTCCGAAGCCCGCCCTCTCCGCACGTCGCCGCCGTCGCCCACGCAGCCAATGAGCCGCCCTTCCTGAGGGCACCTCGGGTCAAGCCCCGCCCCGCCCTGCTCCCATTGGGTGGCCTCCGGCAGCGCCGCATACC